AGCCAGCATGGCTGGCTGGGGAATTCTGGGAGTTGAAGTCCACATATCTTAAAGTCGCTAAGGTTGAGAAACACTGATCTAGGCATTAAATGAGATGGAGCTGAGGGGCCTATGGAAAAAAAATCAGTGATATCTTCAAATAAGATACAAAGCACAGATGTGATAACGACATGGTATTTTCTTGTAGTCTGGATGTTGTGCATCATAGGACATTTGATCACTTGAGGACACTTTAACATTAAATCTAGAGAAAAATATAATCGCTTAATGCCTGTAGCTTTCTAAAGCTGATGACTCAGTGGTTCATTCAACATCTCCAGATGTTGTTGAGCTATAACTCCCAGCAGCCTTGGTCATTGTGCCCACTGGTGATGCCTGCTGGGAAATGTAGGCTACAATTTTACAATTATAGATCCAATTACAGTGAAACCTCAATTTAATGGACCAATTGGCGGTGATTTACCCCCACTGCCTAAGGCTGTTGCTATGCCAATGATGCAAGTCATATCCTTTGTACTGATTTGTGTCATGGGGTCACCATACAAATGGGGTCACCATACAAATGACAAATCTGCATGAAGGATGCAAAATTAAGGTAGAATTAAATAAATTTAACTGCTTCATCCAGACTACCTGGGATGCGCCAGAGTTATCCTTTATTTTAGTGGGATGTCCAGATGGAAATCTGGTCCATGGTATCTGAAGTCCGCTAAATAAGGGTCTGTAAAATCAAGGTTTTGCTGTACAGTACTAGCATTTAAAGAGAAAGGCTCTCTGTAACCAGATCATTTATGTACTTTGTCAGTAGTATGAGTCTAAAATAGGATCCCGTGGTGATCCTATTTTAGGAGATATTCTTTCTCTCTTCCCTGATTCACACATTGTGCTAAGACATGACTGGTTTAGTTGTGATTTATGGAATAAACCGTTGTATGTGAGTCTACACACACACTAAGGGAAATGTGAAAAATGCATATTCATAAATAGCACAGCCTTCCCCAACCTGGGCATTCTCCAAATATGTGACTTTCATTCCCAGAATTCCCCAGTCAGCAGGGGCATTCTGACAGTTGAAGTCCATACATCTGGAAGGACCCAGGCTCTTCTCTTTCTTTCTCACAGAAACAATGGTCTGTGTTTTCACAAGTTCCCGCACTGTGGAAAGCTGGTTTGTCTGCCAAGGATGTCACACTGTATGCACATTTTGAGCTCAGATGATCTTGCCAAGTGGAGGAGTGCTCAATATTTTTCAGCTGGTCCACACTGCTAGTGAGTTTGGGCTACAATTCCCAGAATGCCTAGCCAACAGCCCTGCTTGGCTAGGGAAATCTTGCAATTGAAATTCAGATAGATTCAGAAAGAATCTGGTGGGGCAATGGATTCAAACAACAGTTCTGGAAAGTTTCTCTTTAAGAAAGCCAAGCATTTGGCTAATCCAGGGATGGCAAACCTTTTGGGCTCGGCGTGTCAAAAATTTGGAAAATGCCTAACTTGGCTCTGCTGGCGTGTCACCCCCCCCCCCCCGAACAAAAGAGGAACAATTCCTTACATATTCATTTATTAAAAATATATATATATAGTCCAATCACGGTGATGCTATGTATTATATAAAGAAACGTCAGATAATTACGAAAATGAAATACGAGTAAAACAAACTCAGTTTCTTTGGTAACTCAAACCAGGAGAACAGTTGTTGTCGGGTGTGGGTGAATGCTGGCGTGTCACCCAAAACGTCATGGCATGTCACCTTGGACATGTGTGTCATAGGTTCTCCATCCCTGGGCTAATCTAACCAGTTTGTAGTGAAAATGGCTGTCATTACTATTCCAAAACGAATGGTTTATCAGTCCAGAGGTAAAAACATGAGGCTAAACAAGGCAAGGGTCATGCGAGAATCAAAATAGTGCCATCAGGAGGTTGAATGAAAAGGAATTTGTCTTTTTCTCCTTTAGTTTAATTTGGTCTGTGACCGAAAAGACTTAAACGACATCTCCCAATCTATTTACATGGGTGGTCTTCTGATCGGAGCGCTGGTCTTCGGCCCACTGAGTGACAGGTAAAGGCCAGGTAGATATTTCACAGGGCAGCTAAAAAGAAGAATGCGCTGCTGGTGGTTGACGAGGTGGCTTAGCAGTTTGTGCAGGGATCAAAGGGGGTCAAACAGGTCAAGAGGGCAGCTGTGTCTGCAATCAAAGCCCTGCCTCTTTTTACATGTGTTGCACTTCTGAATTATCTGTCTCCAGCCTAGTCCGTCAGGTCTTCCAGCAGTGCACCCTTTACTGCTATAACTGAGTCCATCCGCTTTGTTGCTGGTTGTCCTCTTCTTCTCTTTCCTTCCACCTTTCCAACATTATGGACTTCTCAGGAGAGCTGGGTCTTTACATAATGTGTCCCAAATTTGATAATTTGAGTTTGATCCTTTGTGTCTCAAGGGAGAACACTGGTTTGTTCTAGGATCCATCGGTTTGTTTTCTTGGCTGTCCATGGTATTCTAAGGAGTCTTCTTCAACACCAAAGGGGGGGGGGGAGATTTAATTGCATTTCAGTGGAATTGATGAAAGATCGTTTCTCCCCCTGTATTTGATACATTTCCTTTTTCTCATATTCACAAATGAGAACTTGGCAATAACTTACAGAGAGGGAATCTAGGATTTCAAGAGATACACACATATGCCTACAATTCTTGAAATACTCAACCCTTGCTCATGCGCACTTGCGTGTCTCAGAAATCAGGCTGTGGCTTATATGGGGGGAAAGCATTCCAAGCCTCTCTTTGCAGCACTAGGACCAGGTTCACACAACTCACCAAACATGGGTTAACAACTGCTAGGCTCAAAATGTACACTCGGCCAAACTCAGGACATTAATACATGACACAGATCTGGGTCCATCCAACTTTCTGAACCCCAATGTTGCAATCCTGTTTTAGCCAACCCTCAGGGGTGTTCACGGGGAAGGGCTCAAAAAAATCAAGATGGTGGCCACATCCATGGGATCAAAGCCCAACTCTTTTTTACATGCATCCTGAGGGTAGGGCTCAGGTCACATGAGTGTGGCTACCACCTTGATGTTTTTGACCCTCTCTCTGCAGGCTTCCCTGCCTACCCTTGCGTGCTGTACAAACCCAGCCTATCTTTCTCTAGGAAAAACAGCCCCTGGATTTTTGAAACATGTGTTTTCGTTCTGATCATTATCATGACGGCTTCCTCTGGTGCACTGCATTTTCTTCTCCAGGATTGGAAGTCGGCTGTCCATTCTGCTGACGCTCCTCATCATGGGATCCTTTGGCGTTGGGGCTGGTTTGGCACCCCACTTCTACATCTACATTGCCCTGAGGTTCTTTGTGGGTGCTGCTTTTGCTGGGATCAGCATCAGCATGGCAGCCTTGAGTAAGTCCTAGAAGCCCAAATTTCAGCATCTGAAGTCATCACGCCCTCCTACTTTAAAAAAAAAACCCTCTCCTCAATTTATATTAATATAAACTTAATATTTATAATCATTACATTGACATTACTTATAATTATTAGCTCAGGTTTATGCTGAAAAGCGTCAAAGTAGAATAACTTAATCTTCTAGGGGTAAAGGAGGGTAGTATATTAGAAAGAAAGGTGATGACAACAGTTGTGCAAGTGTAAGGAGTTTAATCTGTAGAACTCATGACCACAAGACATGGACATGGTCATAGCCACCAACCTGGAGACCTTTAAAGGGGGATTGGATAAATTCATGGAGGACAAGACTATCAAAAGCTATGAGTCTTGAAGACTCCATGTTTCTTCCAAGCTGGAGACCATCTATCTCCAAATCCTAGTTGTAAGGAAGCTAGGGCAAGAAAGAGGAGCATCCCCATCTCTTGTTTGTGAGCATCTCAGAGGCATCCAGTTGGCTCCTATGAGAAGAAAAATGGAGGAGTAAGATGGGTCTGTTCTTACATTCTTGTTGGAAGAAGTTGGAGAACAGACTAAATACATTCTTCCCAGAACATATAGCTGGTAGAATTCATTACCACAAGATATAGTGTTGGACGCTACTGGGATGGCTTTAAAATGGGATTGGATAAATTCTTGGAGGACAGGTCTGTGAAGGGCTATCAGTACTGAAGATTCCATGTCACCTCCAGGTTCGGGGCAGCCTGTCTTCAAACCTCAGTTGCAAGACAAGAACAACAGAAAGGGTTGCATCTCCACCTCCGGCTTGCAAGCATCTCAGAGGCATCTGGTTGGCCACTGTGAGAAACAAAATGCTGGGTTGAGATGGGCCTTGGCTTGATCTAGCAGGCCTGTATGTTGTGTTTGGAAGGAGAACATGTCAAAGAAAGCTTTTCTTTGCACATAACCTGTGGAATTTGCTACCACAGGATATGGTGAGGACCAGCAACTGGGTGACTTTGAAGGGGGATTGGATAAATTCACAGAGGACAGGTGTCCCGAGGATTATCCATCTTGAAAAGGCTGAAGCTAAGATACCCTACCCAAGTTGTAACACTGTTGTGTTTTGTTCCAGGATAGACTACAAAACCCAAACCATATTTGCATGTGTGAATTGTGCCTGTTCCTGCCAGGAACCCCAGTTAGGAAGTTTGGGGAGAGCAAACACCACAGTGGGCAGGCTGTAGTGCCCAAAGGGAGGCCCTGGATTTAAAAAAAAATTAAATTCCCTTAATTTAAAAAAAAAAAAAATCTCCTTTGCTTTTCAAACGACCTTAAGCCATTTTTTGAGATTTCAAGAAGGTCTCTGTATATTTCTCATCTCAAAACTTTGAGAAACTGTGCCACTGGCTTCCAATGACTGTATTTGGGGTGGAGGGTCCTGGGGGTGCCAGATAAGGGTTCAGAGGCTCCAGACCACACTGGGGCTCCCTGTCAGAAATACAGAAGGCTCAAGGGCAAAGTTGGATGCCTTGCAGACCCATAAGATAACCCATCTATCAATTGGTTGGGAAAGGAGTGGATTTCTGAATGGAAACGAGCTGATGGAGAAGGGTCAAGGTCTTTGCATGTGAAGAGAGACCTGAGTTCTCCAAATCTTTTTAGGTTCGGAGTGGGTGGGGCCGTCTTACCGTCCCCGGGCGCTGATCATTACCCATTGTGCCAACGCGCTGGGTCAAATGGCTCTGGCTGGCTTGGCGTACTTTATCCGTGACTGGCGACGCTTTCAGATCGCAGGGTCGGCCCCTGCGTTCGCTCTGTTTTTCTATATTTGGTAAGTCTCGGTGCTCAAACTGAGGGTGACGCTTGGCTGGCTAGACAACCTGGGGAACACTCTATTTGGGGATACGATTAACGGCAATGGGATTCCCTCGTTTATTTGTTACTGGCTTTATTTTAAAGAGCTATACCCCACCTTTCAATCAGGTTCCCATGGTGGCTAGTGTACAAAATCTCAGGTTTTTAATTTTGTGCCTTGCGTGATGCAGGCTTCTAGTCGTCATGGCTCTGAGGTTCAACCTAGAACAGCGTTTCTCAACCTTGGGAACTTTAAGGTGTGTGGACTTCAACTCCCAGAATCCCCC